AAGGGTTTTGTTTAGCCTATACTCGGCGTTTGTTAAACAGCTTTCTGAGGATGGGGGAGCTCTTTCATTGATGGGAGCCCCAGCCAGCCCCCCTCTTTATGATGTGGCAGGCAGATGTCTTCCCTGGAAGTTGGTTGTATCACGCATGGATCCGGAGGGAGAATAAAATTTCAGATTTTGATTGGGGAATCATTTTTAGGGTAATAGAATAAGTTATTTATTTTTCATAAATTATTAAAGATAGTTATATTTATATCATTCAGCATAGAACGCATTGAATACATTTTTGTTAGTTCATGCATTTGTATAAGCATGGAGTGGTGTTCAAAAACTGCGTTGAGTACACATTTCTTAAGCCTTGCCATGCGTCTGGGTCCCCACAGCGCCATCTTGCTGCAGGTCTCTGACAGTGTTGGAAAAAATCCATCCGGGAGGGCAAGTGGAGCCCTCCTTTAAAGAATTAGTTACTGCAGCGCGGCTTCTGCATACGTAGCGTGAACTAAAAACAGTGAGCACAGCAAGGTGTCGGGGCACTGCTAGCGAGGCAACAACAGCGAACGTGTGTGTACGCGTGTGTACGTGAGTGTGCCGTGTGCATAGATCTTGGATCTACCCGAGACATGGGCCATGCTTATCCTTCCCCATTGGAAATTTGCAGTGATGTCTCCCGAAGACCCCTCCCTTCTCTTTGGAGTGTCTAAGATCTTACAGTGCAAATCAATTAAAAAATTAACTTAGAATGTCACTCTGTCACTTGGCAGGGTTGCATGGCTGTCTGTATTTTGACAACCCCGGGAGGGTTGTCGCCCATGGTCACTCCTTGGCCTACAGCACGTCACCAGCAGTGCCAGCGTGATTCTGAAAGAGAGAAGGTCACAGCGCGAGATCCAGTGGCGCTGTAGGGAACCCGATGTTTTTTGGTCTCCGTGTGCTGGAAAGGGCGGCCTTTGCTGACCGCTCCCCGCTGACTCATCGGGAGCGATGGCATCTGGCTTACTTTTTAGAAACTTTTATTTGCTCTAACTTTGAAAGTAGCACATACATACACTGCTAATATATCAATTTCCTTCTAGTTTTTTCTCCTTTTACCTCACTGAGTAGGTTACTTTAGTGTCTTGAAAGAATATGATAGTACACGCTGTTCTCTGAGCACCTTCCCCCATGTAATTCTTTGTCAGCCTTGTTGGTGAATTTTGGTTCCCTCCCAAATCGCAGATGCCTAGCACAGAAGCTTGCATCTTTTCAAGGCGGTAGAGTTTGGTGGTGTGGGTCCCCAGAGTCGCACTGGATCAGTTGCCTATATTTGGCCAGGTTGAGTCATGTCGCCAAATATAGTCTGTGCCTTCTGCGTGATGCAGGCCAGGCTTCTGGCTCCAAACGCCTCCGCCGGCCCCCAGAGACTGTTGTTTTCTGTTCGTGTGTCCTTTCAGGTCGGGGCTGCTGACGAGGCAATATTTCTTTCTATTTGTGACACAGTCAATACCAAGAGGATTCAGAGATTGAATTTCCTTCAATCCAAGTAGGTTCACCTGCCGGAAAGCCTAGTACCTGCCTTTTCCCTCGAGGAATTAAGTTCTAAACATGCCAGGACCTGGGTTGTGTTTATAGATGGGATGAGTTACCCAAAAGCCCATGAAACAAAAACCCTGAACACTGGGTTATATTTAGGTTTAGATGTGTCGGTTATTTTTGTTTCACTTCACTTTATTCATGTGTGAAATGCTGGTGTTCCAAGTTCAGTGGAATGAACTCACGGAGTGCTTGCTTACCTGGTGCCCAAACAGGAAACTCAAGGTACTAGTTAAAAAGCAAAACAAAACAAACCCTCTCGTCCCTAAATGGGGTTGTTTATGTAAGAGAGATGAGAATGTTCAGCAGTAGCTGAAACCATCACCAAAGGAGGTTGCTGGTGCAACGTGGCTAGAAATGAAACTGGGCGAGTTGGTCTGAAAGAGGGGTTTCCCTTTTGGGAATGGCTTCGTGAAAAAGGTGAAACTGAAACAAAACAAGATTTGAGAAATCCCCTCCAGACGAAGGCGGGCATCGTTGATAATGTAGCCATGAAACAGAAGTGGCAGGAATGCCGGTGTGGGTGGAGCAGAACAGGCCCCGGGAGCAGAACGGACGGAGTGCGGGGAGCAAAGGACAGGCGTGTGGGAGACTCGACAGGCCCGCGGCCCTTCAGATGGGAGCTTTCAGAAGATCATTCCACACAGCAAGTGATGTGTAGGATCCACGACAGATGTCACGAGTGGACGGCTCTAGATATTTTAACTACAGAATTTACGGACGGATAGGGCCAGCAGATTAGGGAGGCTTTAAAAAAGGTTTTTTTAAGGTGTTTTTTTTAAAAATGTCACTGTTTATATTTTAAAGTTGAAGTAGATAGCATTACTGGTACTTAATGAAATGTCACAGATGTATTTGCTACTCAGACGTCCAAACTGAGTCCAACTTGAGAAGACTCACAAGACCAGGTCAAAAATGAAAAACAAGTATCACCTTTCAGAGTTAAACCATGAGCCTTGCCAATGATCCTTCAGTGCCCTATTGTGTCAGCTGGAGACTAGAATGGCTGTATTCAGAAGTCTGACGAGCAGAAACGACACCAAAGGTCACCTGCCTTGGGGGCGGAGGGTGGGCTCCCCTCAGGAGGTGCACCAGGAGGCGAACTCTGAGAGCTGAGCGCGTGGACGCTCTGGTGCCCATGGCTGAAACGCTCCTCCTGTTCTCCTTAAAAGTCACCCAAAACAGCAGCTTCTGATGGAGGAGACCTTGCTTTCGTAAACTGGCCAGGCTGTTCGGTCATTTGTCAGCAGATTCGCGTCTTTAGTCATCCTTCCTTGGCATCACAGAGGAGATTATTATAGGTGACACAGAGCAGCCATCTGGGACTTCCATGGGGATATATGAACATCCCCTTGGAAATATAGCAAAATGTTTCTTCTTTACTTCAGTTAATGTAATTACATAAATTTGGTCTCGTATGGACTCACAGCATCTTTTTAAAAAGTGTTTTATGATAAATAAGAGTGGTATGTGTGATCGCTTCGTTAGTTCGTTACCTGGGGGTTTCAAGTTAGAAAACGTGTGCTGTGGTCCATCTCAGGGAGGTCGGCTGCTGCCCCGGGTTAAGTGATTCGGACACAGTGCTCGCCCTTCTCCCCAGTTTCGAACGGTTGAGGGTCGTGTTCTTGTTCCAGCATGTCAAGTCCGTGCTCCTTAAACAGCACACTGTGACGGGTCACACGGTCCGGGCGTGTTGTCCCGGCCGTTCAGATGGAGTTGCAGCCGAGCTGGGTCCTGGGCTGTCTCTATGAGCACTGAGTAACAAAGCTGATTTTCAGGCAGAAATGGAAATAAGTGAATTTGTATTTCCTCCTTCCTTATCGCCACCCCTACCTCCACTCCCTTAATAGGAACAAGCTGAAAGTTTCAATAGAACAATCAACCATGTCATAACAATAAAAACAACCCTTGTACTTGATTTTAAATTGTAGGAAAATGAAGTTCAGGTTTTCCTTCATGTTAGACTCCCAATTTTGGATATGGATTCATTAAAGCTGTAGGCAAGAAAGAACAATTTTCTCTTTTCACGACATGAGTGCATTTCTGTGGAGGCTGTCTCAGAGAAGCAGGATTTGGAGCCATCCAAGGCTAGTCGAACCCTAAAGTTCTGTTCTGTAGTTGTCCGTGTACGTGGGGTTGAGGGGCCGGCCCGCTGGCCCTGCTTCCGGTTGCGCTCGGCGGAACCAGGTAGCGTCTTCCTGGCCCCTTGGAAGGCCTGCCCCTCCCAGCCTTAAGGCACAGGCGGAGCTCTGCCTACCCACTTTTTTATGGCCTTGGTGAGACTACTGTGGATCTGTAGGGTTGGAGTTCACACTACAGTTTCCTGCGGAGCGTTTGTTAATTCTGAGCTGACTTTAAACTCTGCCACTACTCCCGATTTATACAGTGCTGGGCTGTGGGAGCTTCTTCACAGTCGGGTTCTCCTGTCCATTCCTTAGGTGAGCACGACTTTGTTAAGGGTTTTCCACCTTTCTTACGAGAGTGGGTGTAAACGGGCCTGTGGAATATGGAGACTTAAGAATGTTGCCAGAACGATTTTAATAGTTTATAGCACTAATTCTGTGCTATAAACTATAAAACAGCATTCAGTAAGGGTCTGTGGTCTCGGGACCTCAACTTACGTGTAAAATCCTTCCCAGACAGAAATGTAATTCCTTAGAAATAGAGAAACCACTTCCAGCGCCATCTCTCGCCCTTCATTTGTGGTTACGAATTCAGAAGTGGGCACATCCTCCAAAAATTTTAGTACTTTCCCAAATACCTTTCTGGTGGTCATTCAGGCGCCCATTTTAGGTTCAGAACTGGATTTTTGCACCACTTACCAATTCGAGGGAAACTAACGCGGCAGCTTCGAGTGCCTGCTGCGCTCTGGGCAGTGTGCTGTGCGCTGTGGTGTTTTCTGTTGTTTGTAAACACGGGATGTGTTTTATTTACGTGCTGTGCCTATTCTCCAAAATGTGCATCTTCAACCCACCAGCACATCTGTCCCTGTAGGCATAAGTCTGTCACTCTGTTCTAAGTCGTAGAAAAATACTGCTTCTAAAATGCAACCCAAAAATTGTACATCTGAAAAATTGTTCACATTTGTGGGTCAGAAAATGTGAAGATTGTTATTATGAATTGATGTTGGAGCAGAACGCTACAAAGAATATTACTTTGGAGAGGGAGAGAGAAATTAGAATGACCAACCATTTAAATCGGAGGGATGTTTTACTTTCCAGCTTTTCCTATTTGAATGTTTGTGAACATGCTGATTGGTATATATGTCCTCTGACTCATTGTGTTTATTAAATAGCACCACAAAGTTTTGTCCCATAATACAGAGTTTTAATTACCTTACTATTAAAACAAGTAATTCAGTTTTGTTATTGAATACGCTTAAACCAGCCATGAAAAAACTAAATTTAGTAACGGCCTTCTTTTACCTTCAGGTCGTCTAAACTATTCCTATCCAGGATCCGATAGCTCCCTGCTTATTAATGGTAAGTGATAACTGATTTACCCTGGCCAAGTTCACGGACAAAACAAATTAGTATAGGTGAACAAATACAGCAGTTACGGTTCAACAAGTGGAGAAATGGCATCAGTACATTCTGTAGTGACAATGGAAAGTTGCTATTAATCTGTCAGGAATTTTAAGAATAATGATTTTTCAGTCAGGTTGTGGCAAGAACTTTTTAAACTGAGAGCCAACCCATTCTGTCTTGAAATTGGCCACAATGAGGATTACGTAATGATATAAAAAGGACGGCTTCATCTAACTTTAGCTTCTGCAGACTGACCTTTGAAATGTCAACATAAACCGTTTGCACGTAGCTGGAGAAACGTCCCAGTGTAATCAGAGATCTGAAAGCGGAAAAAGCAGCCGAAAACCACAGGGGTTGACGCCGCAAAGCACAAGGTCATTGACTGTTTGCTCTCTAATGAGAACAAGGAGAATGCAGTTTGATTGTCCTTCAGTGTCTTCTCCCCACCTTTCGGAGGCTGACACCGTGCTGTTCAGATCTGTGTTTATGAGCTTCTGCTGAAGCGGACTGCATCTCCGGGGGCAGGAGGGCGTGTTTCCGTGCCCTGATCAGAGAGTCCCGGGGTGTCTGTCGGTTTGGAAGCGCTGTAGGTTAAAATAACTGGGGGGCCTGCAGAGGTCTTGTTTACATCTTTTCTACTCATTGACTAGTGAGTGGATTTCAAATTTGTGGGTTCGTTTTGCCTTCCATTTCCAAAAACTCATTTTAAGTCCCACCACTTCTGAGAAGTGTTGCCGAAATAGCTTTATTCTCCCCATTCCAAAAACAAAGCAAAACAAACCCCCCAAAAAACCACCCCCGGATGGTTTTTTCTATGATGCATCCTTGGCTATGATGCATTGAACAGGGCACTAAAAGTTTTCTTTCTGGCCAACCCCTCTCTGGCCAGCGTTTGAATCAGTGCTCTCTGTTCAATGGATGCAGGGCCAGGAGCGGTGAGGAGATTTGACTTGCGAGAGTAGCTGCGGGCGCATGCGCTCCTCTGGAGGCTCTGAGGTTTATAAAAGCCTTACTTGTTCTCCAGACTCCGGTCTTTTCATGCTGCTCTGCCAGAAATAAGGCTGCACTATAGTATTTCAGCCCTGGTGTGTGTGGACTGAAAGGGAAGCCCAGCGGTACGGGGGCATCGGGCTACGGGGGCTGGTGTCGGGGTTGCCTCTGGAGCTCTGCCCGCAGACCAGGCCCCGCGGCAGGTCCGCGAGATGGAAACGGCACCGAATTAGACCGGTCGCCCCTTGGGCCATCTAGGTTGAGGTGAGAAAAATAAACATTCTCTAGTGGGTTTTCCTTAAAGCTAAAATCGCTTCATTTTTAATAAGCTCTATCATGAGACTGTTTTTCCTTCTTCCCCCCGTAAATATTTTCTGTGATGAACAGATCATTTTTAATGAGCCCTACTTGGCAAAGAAGAAAATAAAGGTAATCTTTCCCCCCAACTATTTATGTTTTGAAATTTTACTGGTCCATAGGCCCTAGAGGGGGCTGGAGGTTTCTTACCGGACTCATGGAAATCGTGTTTGTCGTGAAGGTCCACTGGCTGAGGGTCAACCGCTTAACCTGAAAGATGGGAAGACAAAGAGCAAAGCAGCGTCAAAGACGCGTGCGGGCTCCTCGTGCAAGGCCTCAGCGTGTGAGGTGACTGCCGCGGTCACAGATCTAGTGTTTGTGGTTGAGGGCTTCAGAACTGGATTTTGCCGGATTTGATCAAGTGTTAGCTCCTAATAGCCAACCAAGTAGGACCAGATGTTGGAGTTGACTGACCGACTGATAGTTCTCCAGGAGCAAAGTAGGTTACGACGGAAGACTGATGTTGTGTGCGGTTACAACAGATCAGAGTGGAGGGGTGTTGAGACGATGTCTTTGTCGTCTTAATTCAGGCCTCGTCACAGCGCATTCTCCTCGGTCACATTTGCCTTCTACAGCAGATTGCTGCTCAGATACATCGATCTCATTCATGTATTGATCCTTAGGAGCCTTGTCCTCATTTTTACCCCTATTTGGGAGAACCTGTATTGCAAAGCTAGTGTAAGACAGTAATTGTGCCTAATGAAGGCAAACTGAACGATCACAAATGCTACCCATCTCCCAGGATTGGGGTAAAGATTAAATGCATGTAAATCACTTATATGGCACCTGGCAAAGTTAAAATAGAGTGTCATTTTGGGGGACGGTAGGAGTGTTAGTGCTAAAGATTTATAAAGAAAAAGCACAATACAATGGACTAAGGAGAATATATAACAATTGACTGTGGCTGAATATGCTTTTTTTGGTCTATTATTAAGGTAAATAACGTAAAACCTACTATATTCACTTTTAAAAGCAGTCCCTTCCCATCTTAGTTCATTTTCAGTTTAGAACTAAAAATAAAAGTCTAACATCTAGTGTTGCTTTATTCTCATTGTTCAGTTTTAAGACCTTGAGGAACTACAAGGAGCCCTCTGTTCACCATTAATACTCTATCCAGGCTTCAGAAACCTTTAGGAGGGGATTATATATAGCTACTCTACTTTGTTTTGGCTGTAGCTGCCAGAGCTTTTCCTTCCCAGCCTCTTCTGAGTTGAAAGCCATGTCTCGTTGTATTTGGATGAAGTGGTCAAAGAGCTGTCTGTCTATTCTCTTCCTTGCATGAACATTTGAACTTCAACTATGATAATTATTGTCGAGCTTATTTGGAAATTTTCAAGCAGTCTCCCGGCCTGGGCAGTTTATACTGGAGTGACGTCAGTGGCGTCTGCATCTACGGATGGGCTCACTCATCCCGCGGGCCCAGGTGCTACTGTTGGGTCTCTTTGCCATCCTTGGTCATCAGCCCGCACAGCGAGCAGTGACCTTCGTGGACCACTCATGCCCCTTAGAGACACCGTCAGTGTAACCCTGACAGTGATCACTGCCAGCCATGCAGAGAGTGCCGTGTGTGCACATTCCAGGGGATCATTCCATTGAGCGCTTCTTGGTTGCAGATACTTTTTTGAGGGGGGATCCTTGGATTCCAAGTGTGTTTTTTAAAACATGAGCTGTCTAGATCCTTTGGGGACACAATGTTGGTTTGCTAGTGCCACCACGATAGGGTACAGAGACGGGGCGGCCTACACAGGAGTTTGTTTTCAACCCGGGAGCCTGGGAGTCAGAATTCATTTCTTCTGAGGCCTCTTTCCTTGGCGTGGAGGTGGCCGTCTTCTCTGTGTGTTCACGTGACTGTCCCCTGTGCCTGCCTGTGTCCTAGGCTCTTACAAAGACACCAGTCACACTGGGTCAGCCTGAGTCACCTCTGTGAAGACCTTCTCTCCAAGGAGAGTCGCATTCTGGGGGGGGGGGGGCGGAAATTGGGGCTTCAGCACAGGGACTTTCAGGAGGGGAACAGATTCATCCCATAACAGATGCCTTTTCCCACATAACAGGACGGTTTCCTAAGTTGGATGTAATAGGAATACAGTTAGAATACCCATCCTAGGGTTATAAAACCAAGCCAGTTTTTTTAGCTAAGTCAGAAAGGAGATAGATTAAAACATTAATTTTTCCTTTTCCCAGCTCGAAGCCTTATTTTGCCTGGGAAAACCAATGGGCAGCTGCAGCACCTCTGTGACAGTGCCTACGTACTCGTGGTCCTTTTCCCTCCAAACCCCCGTTCTGCTGCTTCAGCCCTTGGGACTAGGTTTCTCCAAAAGGAGCCTTGAAAGAAAAATAAAAAGAACCTTGTGGCAGAGAGTCACAGGAGAACAAGAAAATACATTAGGTTTTAACAGGCTCATGCATGGATTTCCTCTGCAACGTCTCTCACCCAGCAGCGCCAGCTGCAATAGTCACGTGTCTCAGAGGAGGTTAGTAAGAGATCCTTGAAGGGCTCTGAACCACAGTTCTGTGGAGTGAAAGGAGGGAGACTATTCTCTGAAGGCCCGGGGTGGAGGGGAGAAATCTGTGAACAGGGAGTACGGATTGTAGTCACTGCAAATACATATAATGTGGTTCTAGTTGCTACAATCAGGAGTGAGAAAGACAATATGGAAACATATTGTAAATTCTAATGGTGCTTTACAAGGGTTAGCCTTAGAGTAGTAATGAAAACCTAAGGGTAATTATTGAAGACCAACCTGAGTGTGTGTGTGTGTTTGCTTTTGAGGTAGGGAGAACAGTTTGGTTTACAGAGTGTCTCACCAACCATCGTATATACACCTGGTATTGTTCACTCTCTCACCAGCTCCCCACTTTATAAGTGACCAATAGGATAGGAATATGCAAAAGCCAGAGTTATATTCTCTGTCTTCTAAGGTAGCTTTTTACAAACAGTAGCCTCACGTCTTAATTATAGCTTGTCAAGATTCTGTGAATGTTGTACCAACAAGCTAGTGTGAATGTAAGTCAACATGATAGGCAATTCGAGCTATTAATCATCAATCTAAAATAACTTTGTGGCAATGAGTCCATGAAATTAGGAGTTGATGTATAAAATTATTGAGAGTGATTCTTTGCATCTTTGTTGCATCATCGCCCTGGTCTTCGTGATGTCTGCCTGTGTGTTGGTTCCATCATCTTCATTCTTTGTTAACATAGAATTTCTCCCCTCATCCAGCCTTTCATTTGTATCTTTTTAACTGATTTGCTAATTTGACTAATTTCCTGCATATTTTTTTTCTAGTCGTACTGGAAAAATCAGTTATTTGATAGCATCTTTTCGCCTGAGCCCTTGCCCCTGGTTTTTCCAAACGGCTTTGCTTCTCAGCACGGGGACAGCAGAGAGAGAGGCAGAGCCTGGGGCAGGCAGGCCAAGTGCAGCCTGAACAGGGCCGGCCTTTCCTGCCTGCCCACACCCAGGACAACCAGTTTGGTCCCTTGTGGCCTGTGGTCCTGTCCTCCGTAGAATTGATTAGATGCCTTGGTGTAGGAAAGGACATCTTCCTCAAATATGTCGTTTGTTTTTAAAAAAGCACCAAGTAGAAAGCCCAAAAGGGTTCATTATGGAATATAGTAATACGGTATACACAATAACAAATTTAAATAGTGCACAAAGATAAAACAACAAGTAAAAACCCTTCTTTCTCCCCCATCCCAGTTTCTCTCCCTGAGATTCTTATGGTTGCTTCTAGAAAAAAAGATTTATGCACATTCCCACATCTATTTATTTTTCTTGATTTTCAGATTCAAAAAATACGAATCATACAATATACCACCTAGGTATCTCACATGAATATGTGCCGGATTTTTTCAATGGCTACATACTAAGTACTTCTTCATATAAGTGTATCACTATTGCAGACACTTTGTTTCTTTTTGACTGTAACAAATGAGAAAAAATACTTTTTAAGAGATATCTTTATTTTGATAATGAAATACATAGTGTATATTTATATGTTGTATATTTGTACCTAATGAAATATATATGTAGTATATTGAAAAAAGACCCAAATCCTTCTGTACCGTCTTCATTAAGTGTAGTCTCCCAAAGCATGGCGGGACATTCACTAGAGGGAATTGAATGATGACCAGAGGACATTTATAAGCAATCCTGTAAAGACAGTTTGGAAGTAAAGTATTTATTAATAGATCTAATAACAACATGCATCCAGAAGTTATAAAAACTTACAGCCAAAATTCTCCAACCCATTTAAAACACTCTTGAATCATGTTTGTACTAAGCATTAAATTACTGAGGACTTTATAAAACAAAACTGAGGGATAAAAATAAAAGTAAATAAACATATAAATCATATTCAGTTTAACCCTGATGGGGACTAGAATATTTTTCTTCAATAATAACATTCATTTTTGGAATCTTTTAACAGGGTACTCTGGGAATTAAAAGCAAATTCTGAGCAGTTTATGTTGCCAACTTAGCTAAAAGTTTTCCAAATGTATGATTCTTTAAACATATTTAACCTAATTTTTTTTTACTTGCTACTTTTCTGTATGCTTGAGAAACATCAAAAGTGTGCAACACTCGAATCACCAGATTGGAAATCCGTCTGAGAAGACAGATTCCTCAGGAAGGTGGTGACGGACGTGTGTTACAGAAGTTCCGTCATCATGTGTTTGTGCCAAGCACAACTGGGAGTGGGCGAGGGCGGGGGGCTCAGGGTGTCTTTCCTCCACGGGGGGGGGGTGGGGAACAGCACCCCTACGCTTCCGGTGGAGTCTGGGTTCTGGTTACACACCCGTGTGCACTTAGGCATTGGGCACTTTCCCGTATATGTGGCATATGTTAACATCTACGTGGAAAGCAATGTGTAGTGGTAACAGCATTCTACTAAGTGAAAACCAAACATTGGCTGTGCTCTAGAGTATCATTGTTCTTATTTTTCTGGTTCTCATTTGTATTAATTTTCCTATTTGAATGGACACTTCTTATAATTATAAACACTGTATACCTATTCCCTTAATGTGGGAAAATGTTTTTAAATAATTTTCAGGATTTAATATCAGATTTTTAAAAAATTTAATTATTGTTCAAGTACAGTTTTCTGTCTTTTACTCCCATCCCACCCCCCCATACTCCCCACCTCCCTCCCATTTCCACCCCCCTTAGTTTTTGTCCATGTGTCCTTTATACTTGTTCCTGTGAATCCTTCCCCTTTTCCCCTGAAATTCTCTCCGAATTTAACCATGAAGTTTTTATATTAACCAGCTTAACTTTTGTGGTATAAAAATCAAAGTTTGAAAGTACACATTTGAAGACTTTGAGAGTATTAGAATTCACTTTTGATCTGTAGCCTGTATTCCTGAAACTATATTTATTTTCGAAATAGTGAAAGCTCTGAGGTTTTATGTTAATTTTGTAGCTTCTAAGAGCCCACTCTTTTTGAATACGTTTTCTTAGAAAGCTAGGCAGCACCAGGCAACTCGTCAAGGCTGACGGAACCAGGCTTTTCAGATCATTCACTCCCTCAAATCTTATGTCTTGGAGCACTTAGTTATCTGGACAGAATGTTTTTAAACAACTCTCTGCTTTTCTGGGGTCTTTGTCTTTCTAGCGTCTGTCAGATTAACTACGGAAAAGAATACCTTTCCCTTTCTGAAAACTAAAGACCCAGGGAAGGAAAACCTTAGCAGTTGAGAGAGGTTTCATCTTGTTTGAATCCATTTCCTAAGCACTTTAGTAAAGTCCCATGTTATCTAGCGTTGGTCAGAATGTGTTTTGGTGTAAGACATAACCTCACTACTGGAAAATGTGCACAGGGCACCTCCGAGTCGCACCTGTAACTCGGTCACCACTGAGCTCTGCCGTCCCTGCGCCCCCGTGACACCACTCCCCGCCCAGACCCACGGTTCCCTGTGCTCCTGCTGCGGGCGCCTTGCCCTGACGGCACCCGATCAGCAGCAGCGCTGCCCCTGCGATGCCCTTCCTGTTTGTCTTTCAAGGTCCATCTCAAATGCCACCCCCTACCCTGACGCTTTAACTGAAACCGGGGCCCCTCCTGCTCTGTCCCTTTGTACCTACCACACAATTGTCACAGCAGAGAGGCACGCCGCGTCACCATTATTTATCCCTGTGGCCACGCAGTCAGGGCACGGGTACTTAGCTGTCCTGTCCACAGCACCTCACGAGGTGAGTGTCCAGGAAATGTGCGTTGGGTGGGACTGAGGTGTTCGGACAGGCCGGGCTTAAAAATAAGTGACGGTTTGTTTCAGGGAAGATTTTCCCAACCATTTTCTCATTTCCAGTTTATACTGCTATTTTCTGAGTATTCAGAGAAATACGTATAATTATATAAATATGCTTATGTATTTCTCTTCTTGGCTGCAACCTACTTGGTGGTAAAATTCCAGACTGTTTACTTTTCAACATTTGGGACAGAGTGGAGGAAAAGGAAGCCCTGATCAACCTTTTGATCAGGGCTAAGAAACTTTGGCCAAAAGGAAGTTTGTAAACTGCTTAACGATTTCTTTTATGATATTCTTTATAAGAGATTAATTGAGAGGTAGTATAAAATGACTGTTTATCTTGTAAGAGTGAAAAAGCCAAGAATTAAATATTGTGACATTTACTGAACTGCTCGTTAGCAGGGGGTTCTGGGAAAAAATAAGGTTAACGTGGTCGTTGGTTTAGGTCATGTGACGTACTCCTTTATGCTAGTGTGGACCTTGAGTGACAGACAGTCACAGCAAAAAGCTTCCTTTAAAACAAGGGTCCTTAAAGAACTTAAAAAAAGAAAGTAGTAAATTGACCTCTCACTATCCAAATTCTTTGTTTTTGACACAAAGTATATATGGCGAAATTTTTTCAATTTCAAAAGCTGGTAGATGAAATCACAATTGATTCTTTTGACAATGTTTGAAAGGTTGTTTTTGTTTTTCTCATTTGACATGCAGCAAGGACTTATGGGCGAAGGAGAGGTAACATCATTGTTTCTAACTTTTGAATGTGTAGTTGTATTTGGAGAAGACCCAAGTTTGGTCAGTTCGTACCCTCATGGGGAAGGGGGGGCTGGGAGGGGGAATGAAACGTAGGTTGATTCTTACGGACTTTACCTATTGTAGTTAACATTCTAGACATTCTAATTTGAAGAAGTCAGAATGGTAGGATTTGGATTTGAACCAACATCATTTTCCTATATTGTAAGTTCAACTGATTTATATCTAAAGATTTATTTCCTCTTTTTCTGAAAGGAATTTCTTAGAAAAAAAACTAAGGTTCTTTAAAAAGGAAAATATAGTCCAAATCAACTCAAAATACCTCTATTACATTAGAGTTTCAATTATACATGAATACTTAAAGTGTGTTAGACAGTTTTAAATAGCTCAGCTTAGAAATAGAAGTGATCTTTGAAAGTCATTCAGGAAATAGCCTCCACTTTTATAGTCATTTTAAAATCTTCACTATTAACTCTTTTGAGCTGTGGTTTTACGTGATAAATTCATAACAGGTGTCCATAGCGTTATGACTTGTGTAGTGAGAATTGGGAGGAAGAGAAGCGCAACAACAGGAGGACGCAGGGGCCTCCCGGTGGAACAGGCGAGGCCACGCCCCTTTCCTGGGGCCGGGAGCAGCCCCTTGTGCGCTGCCCGGATGTAAACTAGCAACCTGGAAAGTGACCGGCGCTTGGGAGAGGCTGCAGTTCTTTGAAGCTCTGTGTTTTGCTTTGAATTTTGCTGTCTGGTCAGTGCGGGGAGAATATAACTTACATTGGCATCTCTGGTCTTTTCTGCTTATCCATTCTAGATGTTTTCAAACATCAGGCTATAGTGGTTAGTATTTAGAATTAGCACTGTAGCAGCTAGTTATTACTCAACTGAAAAAAAGTGTGTCTTTAGCATGCCTAAAAATCTTAAATCCTAGACAGTGGAGTTAGACAGTGGCATTTAATGGGTTCCGGTTGTAGCCCATTCGTTAAGGTGAACGAAAATGAGTGCCCAGCCTAAAAATTGACACGTTCACTTTAAGGACATTCTTGGAGGAAATTGTGTGGGCTGTGTCACCTGATGTTTTAAGAGCGTTTTAGTGACCCAGAGCTGACAGTCACATCTAATACTCAGTGCACACGTCTAGGTTGCCAGGGGTCGGGGCCCTGCCAAGGCAGGGCCGCAGCTGCCAGCCGCTCTCAAAGGAGCGCCCTCTCCTGCTGCTGCGCTTCCCCTCCCCTCCTGAACTGCCCGGTCCCGGGGGAGAGGGGGGCCCACCCTCTATTTAACCGAGAACTTTCTCTCGGACTCAGTTGGGACTTGAAGGTGATGGGAATTCAAAAGCTTATCTAAGTGATTGTGTTTGTTATTCAGTGAGAAAAGAAAGGCCGCAGGTGTGTTGAATCAGCTGCTGTCTTTGTTTGCTGTGCACAGTGGCCAAGAGCGGAGCTGTGAGCTTTCTTCCCACTCTCTCTTCCAGGTCAGTCTTCGCTGTTTCCAATGGAAGATGGATTCTTGGATGACGGCCGTGGGGATCAACCTCTTCATAGTGGCCTGGGCTCACCTCACTGCTTCACTCACCAGAATGGAGAAAGAGTAGAGCGATACTCTCGCAAGGTGTTTGTGGGCGGACTGCCTCCCGACATCGATGAAGGTACGTTGAGAAAGGCGTCGAGAGCATGGTGCCCAGAGGCAGCACACAGTAGGAAACTCACAGACAGAGGTCATGGTTACGATCACAGCAGTCTTATCTGGCTCCGGGGATTGTTTTGCTTGCACTGTCCTCTTTTCATATCTTCTTATCAAGGCCTGAGAGATGGGTTCAGGGAAGGAGAGAGGGCGGGCCTTGGAGCCAGCTGAAACCAGCGGTTGGACTAAGTGAAGAAGAGCAAACACTGTTGCGCTGGAAAGCACCCCAAGGACCTGGTGTGGACAAAATGAGCACTAACTGCATTTTTGTCTGTGTATGCCGCCTTGACCAAAGTCAGTGACCATTCCAGAAAGGTGTGCAGTGACATGGCATCGTGGTAGCAGGTAGAGGCGGGGGCCTGGAGTGCAGGCCCAGGCTGATGAGGGAACGTGATACTGGTGGGTAGCATGGCACCGGGTTGGCAGGTACCAGCCAGGCCAGGTGATGGAGGCCGACATGCCCAGCAAGGACAGGACGGCGGCATGACTGGGTGCTGCGCAGGATGCGCAGCCGCAGCTGGGTTGTGGGCAGACAGGTAGGTGAGGTCGTGGGTCATCCTGCAGAATCAGGGGCCTGTGTACGTGAGGACCGTGAAGCACGCAGCCCGGCTGTGTGGCTCCGTGGATTGAGGGCCGGCCTGTGGACCAAAGGGTCACTGGTCAACAACAGTTGTGTTACAGGTTAGAGAGCATCATGTCAGAAAAAGGTGATCGGTGGTAGGGGGAGAGGTAGACGGCGTGACTCGTGCAGGGTGCGGAGAGGAGGAGGAAGGGCCGGGCAGACGTGCACAACATTAACAGCTGGGGAAGCGAGGCGGAGGGATGCGGGCGTTCTTCCTGCTGCTCTTGTAAATTGGACATTTGAAACTGTTGTTTTTCTAACTACTCCCCCCAGAATGGTCACAAAAATACTGAAATCTGCTCTTTGCTTTGTGATTCACTAGACGAGATCACGGCTAGTTTTCGCCGCTTTGGCCCATTGATTGTGGATTGGCCTCACAAGGCGGAGAGCAAGTCCTACTTCCCTCCCAAAGGTAATCCCCTCAGCTCCGTACACGCCAGCAGTTTGTTATCCTTTCACCGTTTAACGGTTAGCATTTTCAGGAATGTTCAACGTAGAATTTTCCGTTGTTAGACTTCTGTTTTCCCAAACGCGTCTTTAAACTTTCTACCCAGTATATACTTCCAATTCAAATGTAATTTTACTCTAAAAGATGTTTCAAGATATCAAACTGAGCTTAATGTGGATATTATCAGACTTTAGGTAGGAATATTGTGTGGATTTTTTGAAAAAAATATTATTTCCTTTTTCGTTCATTTTAATTTGTTTCCTTTCTCTTGAAGAATTACAAAAAAAAAAAAACAGCCAAAATTGAGGGGAACATAACCCTTTGCCCTCTTTATCAGGCTACGCATTCCTGCTGTTTCAAGACGAAAGCTCTGTCCAGGCCCTCATCGATGCTTGTATCGAAGAAGACGGAAAACTCTACCTGTGTGTCTCAAGTCCCACCATCAAGGACAAGCCGGTAAGTGCGCTCTAGCGTGAGAGGAGCGTCCGGTTTCGGCCTCCGCCTCTGCTGGGTCTGAAACACCCGCAGACATCGCGATGTTTCCGTTCAGTGACGTGTGTGAGTGGGCTGGGGACGAGGTTTTGTCATTGCTGTCAGCCTCCCAACATCGGCATTCTGTCGATTTGTGCCTGCGATTTTGACATAAGGTTTTTGGTTCATTAAAATACTGGTAAATCTTTACTATTAAAAGATTTCACTTAGTAATGCATTTGATAAAGTAGCTGGATTTCCTATTAATAATAGATTTAGCTTATTGTAGGCAGTGAACTTGCTACCTTTGTTCACTGTACTCTTAAAAATGAAATGATGAGTATATACTCTTTTAAAATCTTTTTTAGTTTTATAGCTTTATTGTTTTGTAATGATGTGAATTATTGCTTTTAAGTACTCTGCAACACTTTTGAACTTCTTTCCCCATAAATTGTACTGAGAATGAGGCATTTGGGTTTGCACCCTCCCTAGGTCCAGATTCGGCCTTGGAATCTCAGTGACAGTGACTTCGTGATGGACGGTTCACAGCCTCTTGACCCACGAAAAACTATATTTGTTGGTGGTGTTCCTCGACCATTACGAGCTGGTATGATTAAGCAAACAAACCCTCTCTATCCTTCAGCACGAGAAATAGTTTATAAAGGTTTTTTCAGAATAAGTCCTCCATAAGCATTTGCGGTAATGTCTGAGAGTGAGAGTTCCGGAATCAGTGTCTGGCTCTGAATTCGTGTGCTCCGCTCTCAGTTAATAGTTGAATGACTGTGGACAAATTACTTAATTTCTTATTCTCAATTTCCCCATCTGTCAAATGGAGTAATAAGCGTATCTACTTTCTGTGGCATTGTTTCGAGGGTAACATATGATAACCAGTGCAAAGTGCTTGTGCAGTTTCTCATGATGCCTGCGATCGTAACTCTGTCATCTGAAAAAAAAATAACACTTCGGGGCCAGGTGACGGTGGAGACGTTCGGTGTCTGTTTCCCACGTGCTCGTTTGCTCATCAGCTACTGGCCGAGCTCTGAACTATGATGGGGTTCTCAGCCGCACATCATAGCACTTACAGAAGAAATTTCACCCCCAAACAACTCATTTGAGATTTAATAGTATAAGATAAAGACCATAAAATGAACAAGAGTGCAGTTTCAGAATTGTAGCATATAATGGCAAAGACGACACGTCCGTTATTTCAAGGTTTTATAAGAAAAAGTGGCAAATAGGTGGACTGCAGGGAAAGGTAACAAGATTTTGATGGAGATAAACAAGAAGGACCTTGAAAGAGCCTTCTGACGTTTTCTAGTGTCCAAATGATTTTTTATATGAAGCCGTGCCCTGTTAACTGGGAAGTACGTGGCAGCAACAGGGTACAGAGCAGACAGGCCAGGGTGCCAAGGCTAGCCGACCGCTCAGCCATCCGTGACCTTGGGCTGATGGGTCGTCCTCCCTGTGCCCATTTCATAGGGTTTCTCTGAAGATTAAGAGAATGTAAGTAAAACACCTGCCCTTAGTTAAAAGATGAACGGATATCTCTCTCTAAAAGCAATGAGAAAATGTCCTCGGGTGAGGACATAATAAATAAATACATGAATGGACACCTGGCTGTAATAATGTTTGATTTCAGTGATTATTGTAACGATGCGAGCTCAGGGTGGAGGTGAACTGCTTTCGACGTAACCTTTGGGAGGCCAGATGAGTTTTCCTCATTTCAAGTCCCCTCTTGGCGTCTTTCTTACACAGTGGAACTCGCCATGATAATGGATCGGCTGTACGGAGGTGTGTGCTATGCGGGGATTGATACCGACCCCGAGCTGAAGTACCCGAAAGGGGCGGGGCGAGTCGCCTTCTCCAATCAGCAGAGTTACATAGCTGCTATCAGCGCCCGCTTTGTTCAGCTGCAGCACGGAGAGATAGATAAACGGGTGAGTCCGGGACTGCGTTCTGGAGAGTTCTAGAACTGGCCCTCTAACTGTGTCATTACCAAGGCTGGAGCGAGGGGATTTTATATGAAAATAAACTGACAGTGAACAGTTATGCTGTAGAACCAATTAGGTGTATGTTCTGTAATATGTCTAGGAATTTCCCAGGAATGTCTTCTGTCTCCTAGTTTTTGAGTAGCCCATCCAGAACGCTGTATCCGTTTCCTTGAGTTGGTTTAATTTTTCCTAAGCTATCACCTGCATCCATTCAGTTGGTCGATCATTTAATATTCACCACATTCTTTCTACTGTGTTGTATCAGGCATGCGAACACAAATGCCCTTGAGGTCTCCTGACTTCTCCTGTGTTTTGTCCTGGGACCTTGTGAATACCTCAGCAAGCCCTGTTTTCTAGCGCACTGTGTACCAAATGATGAGCAAATTGACTCCTAGGACTGCATGGCTTAGAAGTATTTCATTATAGCAAATTAAGTAAGAGTCATGAACTCTGGTGTATAGCCTGGAATTTGGCAGTGGCCAGTTAGCTGTTTTCAGCACCTCGGATTCCTCCTCGTTGGGTTTGCCTTCTGAGCCAGAAGGCTGGAGAAAACCTCAGAGATGGCTCCTCCCTCTGTCTCCTAATGTGTTGACTTCGAAACACTGCCTTCCACTAGGTGTCTTACTGTCTTGCAGTCACAGATTTACTTCTTGCCTTTGCATTCCATGCATCTGACAAGTGTTTTCGTGCCTGGGACCAGAAGGCCCCGTCCTCCTGAGTCTGTGGTCTGGTCTCTGAACCCGCTGCCAGTAGGCAAGACAGTTCGGGCCTTGTTGTGGTGAGACTGGAAGTGACAGCAGAATGTACATCAGCCACATGAGGACACATGTGGCCGTCAGCTGACTGTTTTTTCATGGAAAGATCTTGACAGGAAGGAAGCAGTGTGTTGATTTCTGTTCTGGTGTCAGCTCTGATCGTGGTAGACCGGCACCTTCAGTAGGACCGAGTCAGCTGTCCAGCGCTCTGGGGCCTCGTGCTCAGAAAGGACTGGCTGACCGCGTTGTGCTGCCCTCGGTGCAGCATGGGAAACCGGCAGGTCAGTAGCGCGTCACACGTGACGCCGATGTCTCATTTCACGTATCTTGTGTCCGCGGTGGTGCGAAATGTGAGACTGTAGCTGGCATCATGCTGTACTGTGACCAGGTCAGGGAGGAAGGTGTCGACTCTGTTGTGAACGTGGAGGAAGGCAGCCTCGTCAGCCACAGGGGACGTAAACGCGCCTGCTCACGCTTTGCTCACACTGGGGAAGACGTGCATCTGTGTGAACAGCCCCCCGGCCCGATGCTTCGCTCCGACCTAGGTTTCGGAGTCGTGAGGTTGGTGGTCAGAAACGCAGACCTAGTTGGTGCTCCTCTACAGCCGCAACCTTCCATGTGTGTTCTCACCACGCCGCAGACGTTCCGGGCTGGCCTCGGGCTGGGCGCCTGGTGATGCGCTGGTTATGCCCGTTCCTCTGTCTCCCACATCGCGCTTCTGCTCCGGGCACGGCTGCCCTTTGCCAGGCTTCCCTGTCGGAACTGGGTGGCACCAGCGGTGGTGACAGTCTGGTATGAGGGAGTTTCAACCGTGAGTCTCTCCGAGACTAAAAACAACTGACTCTGTTCTCCCCGGTGAATTAATAGCTGGGTTATTTTTAATACTCGAGAGGCTCAAATGACAGGTCGGCTGATTGAATACTGGAACAGGCCCAGTTTTATAAATGCACCTTTGACGTTTAGACTCAAGTAAACCCTTCTTACTGACAAAGAGGAACTCGGGGTTTGGACTGTGAGGCCTGGGGCGGCGTCTGGCTTTCCCAGAGCCCCAGCGCGGTGATTATAACTCAAGATGGAACGCTGTAAATAGAAACCCCGGCCTCGTGCTGTGACATTTCAGGAGCGTGTGCCGCAGAAGGCAGGCGCCTTCCCTCTGGCCTGAGTGCCGAGGTGCGGTGTTGTGGAACCGGGGGGCTGAGTCGGTGCTGTGTGAGCTGTGACTCCACACGGAGTGCACACCCAGACCCCGAATTAAAGTGCCGGTGTGCGTCTGCGGAGGCTCTGCGGTGTGCGTCTGGGCTTTCACCTCCTCGTGGTCGGTTGCCGTCTCTGTATTTCTGGTGGAAGCCTTTTTTCCTTTGAAAACTGTTTATTTAATAAGACGAAAATGGGAAGCGATGGGTATGAAAACCTGACCCAGTTCTTAAAAGATAGTTCAGTGAGAGAATTACTGACCCTTCCTTTCGGGCATCTCGGCGCAGGTCCGCCCAGACAGCGGTGGACACGTGCCCACACTCTTGGAGGAGTTGCCGGCCCGGGCACTGCGGAGCGCAAACCCCTTTCTCTTGTTCTCGGTTGCAGGTGGAAGTCAAGCCATATGTCTTGGACGATCAGCTGTGTGACGAGTGCCAGGGCGCCCGCTGCGGGGGCAAGTTCGCCCCGTTCTTCTGCGCTAACGTCACCTGTCTGCAGTATTACTGTGAATATTGCTGGGCTGCCATCCACTCTCGTGCTGGCAGGGAGTTCCACAAGCCCCTGGTGAAGGAGGGCGGCGACCGTCCCCGACATATTTCATTCCGCTGGAACTAAAGGAGAACTACAGTGCTCATTTTCAGGCCTCAGAATAAGTGCACTCCTCTGTTAATTCTGACCCTTCCCTCAGCCTCTTCACGCCGGCATGCCCTTTCTTAGCAGTCTGTAACTCACCAGTAGTGTGATGGAAGGAATGGCCTAGGACAGAGGGGTTTTGTAGGTTCCGTGTCCCCGAACACAGTGTGGGTGACCTCCTTGTTTGTATCGCCACCGTGTTGCCCGGAAGTTTTGTTCTCTTGTTTTGCTGGAGAGCAAGAGGGTGCAAACTTCCTGCAACACGTTCCTAGAGGAGAGAGAGAAATATGAAGAGAGAAATGAAACAATAGAGTATTTTGGGTTTTTAATTAAATTATTGTTAATAATATATAAGAATACTTTTATTAGAATAACCATGCAACAATAACACTATCCGTCTATCCTGACACAGTTGTCCCCAGGGAGACGCTTCTGCCTTTTTCTTTCTTTCCTTTCACCTTGGTTGCCTCTGTTTCCATCCCCTTTATATACTTTTAACAGCAGTGGAGGAAGTTAACAATCATTAACGGGACAGAGTCTGTGAAAGCCAACGCAAAGGCATGAGCAAGATCGGAGCAGCATTATCGCCTACTTGGAGGAGGGTGGAGAGGCCGAATATCCCTTCCCTCTGCCTCCGAGTTGCTTCCACGTCAGAAACAGAGAGTCAAGTTGGCAGAGCTGGGTTTATTTTCTTTCAAACAAGTTGTGAAATCTAGGATGTAAAAATTGGGTAAATTTACTACCGAGGGGAGTGCACCTACTTATTTTTAAACTTACCCGGTCACAGCCCCAGGAAACCTACCAAAGCTAGAATTAACGACAGCTGGCGGGAAAAGTAGCAGTTCCTCCCCTGAAGACCTAATGTATAGATTTTATTTTTGATGTTCTGTATAAACTCTATATCCTAATTTTCTAACGCTCATCGGGTGTCGGCCTTTGCTCTCCATTTTGACGTCCAGAAAACACACATAGCGGATCTAGAGTTACCTCAAGGATATCATTTTTGATTGCGTTGTGCAGTACACTTGTAGCCAAAACTGGAAGATGAAATCAATATACAAATTGGCTGCTGATTGGCTTTCTTTTAGATTTAAAGTTACTTTGGGTATCCTGTAATTTAGTTGTAACATAGAAAATGGGGAAAAAGTTTTAAAAGAGTTAAGTAGTTGCAAAGTGTTTTGCACTGTTGAACTAAGTAACTGTGTAGATCTGTGCAAAGATACGTATGTTTATCTTACTCTTCCTATAAAATAAAATAACATTACAGTTTCAGAACTTAGCATGGGACATAGTCAGTGTTTGAAGTGCCAACTTCATCCAGTAATGCATGCTTTATTATAAATAAAATCTAGCTTTGAAAGGCGTTATTATGCGTTGAACAGTATGCTTCAGGGGTAAATTTAAAATAGTCTCTTGAAGCCTTGGTCATGGAAGTAACTTTTATTTTAATTGACTTTATCTCATTGAATGCCCGATCCACCATTAAGAGGATTGTTATCGGTGTGCAAAACATCGTTTAAGGAAATCTAATGGCAATCTTGCTAGTCGTGCTACCTAACAGTACCATCTCGGATCCTGCAAAACCAAAGACTTGCCCCAGCGCTACGGTGGAACCACCTGGCTGATGCCCCCTACTGATTATCTTGAGGAAAAGCAGTCCTTTATTTCTAATACAGGCTTTAATGAACTGTGTCCGTGTGAAGTTCCAAAGGTCAAAATGGAGACATTTGCTGTCTTGACAGTGCAGCCTGGAGCGGGAGCTGCTTTCCCAGAATTCCCTGCAAAGGTCGAAAGCGGTCATGCGGATGGAGGGTGCTCTTGTGTAGCTGGTCAGGGACTCGTTTTTCTTTTCTCCTGAACTGCATAATTCTAAGTGGAATGTTCATTTGCCTCTTTCTTCTTTCAGACGCTTGTAGGTGGCTTGGGGTGTGCTCTTGTGCTGTTCCCACTCAGTAAACAGGTGTGACGAGCTAACGAGAAATAACGCTGTTTGAGAACTAGCTTTGAATAATGATTTTCCCCTTTGTACATGACCTGCTGACTTTCGGTACAGTGTTTTGTAGCTGACTTATTTCGTCATGCACATAATGTGTATTTGTCATGCACTACTTTTGTATATCTTGTTTTTCCAGCAGTGAGCATTTTTAGGCACACTTTTCACTGACGGGATATCTCTTTATGCAATACCTCAATTTTTCATATTGCAAAGAGTAGCTTTTTGTACTTTTATTACTGAGAGATCTTCATATACTTCATTTTTTAATATAAATAATTTTAATAAATTTTATTTTCTTATATTCTGCTTTTTATACATTTCAGTGCTCTGCATACATTTTAAACTATGAGTGTCGTGCACTGGCGATGCTATTGCAGAGTCTGCAGAGAAGAGAAAGCATGTTGCTTTAACATCCTTCCCCAGCACCGGCCCTTGGTGCACCTAGAATTGAAGGAATAGTCTATGTAACGTCACAAATTAATGAGCAAAAATTCGCATGAAAATGACAGACAACACTGTAGTTCCTCAAAAACGACATGCCTAAGCATACGTTAGAAATTTAAAATAACACAATTGTCTACAGCTTCTTACTCAGTTTTTAAAATTATTCATAACGCAGACATTTTTGGTGAATGTTTATCCATTTTTAATATTAATAAATTGATGTTTAAGTGTTTGATTCCGAGATGTCTGCTCTTTTAAATTATATATAAGGAAAAATTAAAACAGCCTGCCGTGGGGCGGGTATGTAATGTTAGTGTGCATGACTAATGTAAGAAATCGCTATTCTACTAATATTTCCTTGTGATTGTGTGACAAGTGTGTTTACAGATTATTTGGTTACACTTCAATTTACAGGGCATAAACAATTATTATCTATTACTCTGAACTTTATCGATTACATGTCCTTCAGATTACATGGGATTGTAGTTGGGAGTTACCATGTAACTCAAAACATAATTAACATGTAATTAGTTTACAGATTTTAGGGTATCACTTCAATTTACCAAGCATGTAGTTGTAGTGCACTTAGCATGGCACCAGCCATGTACTTACAATGTAGTTACGGAGTAATTACATGGTTATTTTTGCAATGTAAAATAAAGTGTTTCTGATTATTTTCTATGTAAAGGCCCCACCCCTTGCCCCCTCTGGTCCCCACGCTTTGGTATAATATATCTACTTCTCCATACACAGACCTCTACAGAATGCAAAGTGAAACTTGCGGTGAGTGAATTAGCATTTTTTGAGAGTGCTGTTGGCAAGACTTGGTCATTCGCCCCTTTTGTTTTGAAGAGTGGACTCTTCTGTTAAAAGGTGATTTAAAACTTGAATGTGATGAATTGTGGCAAGTTAACTTCAAGTTATGTGCAATACTTATTTCAAACTTTTGAAAGATCTTTGCAGTGTGATTCTTTGTTTTTAATTGCAGACATTTAAAAATGTCATTTTCTACTGTTAAGAGTACTCCTCTTTCTTGCTGGTGTTTCTAAAGAAAAGAATCAGAAATCAATCTTTCTACTAATGTAAATTTGAGATTATTTTTAAAAATGGAATAAAAGAGGTTTTGGTCATTTGCTTTATTTTATTATCTTATTTTAAAGCTACTGTGATTGATAGCATTGTAAGAATCGGGACAATATTGTATTCAACTGTTTTATTTTTTATATTTTTAAAATTTAAAGTATAATTAGTTTTTATAATTTGCATCAGATTTTTGTTATATTTTTTGGAAGTGAAACTTTTAGCAAGTGGGTGTCTAGTTTTTACTAATCCCTAATGTTTTTTTCCCCAGTGTATTGCTCATATTTTCAGAAGGAAAAGTTATTTAAGTACGTCAGTTAATTGTACTACTTGGCTGAATTTCCATATAGTTTATACTGTGTATGGGGACGTTGTAGTATTTATTATAGCATTTTAAATAAGGGTAATTCATTTTTTATTAAAGTCATTTTCACGTTAAGTTCTTATTTTTGTATGTTCTACTCTTAAGTTATATAACACAGTTCCTTTTTTAAAAGAGTTCATTTGTTGAAGTGCTAGTGAAAAATTAATGTTATTAAATAGTTTGCAAATGACTATTTATACCAGTATGCATATAATTTTTAAATATTTGTAATGTGAGATGTTGAATGAATAAAACTTTTAACTCAGCGTTCTTTTAATATAGTTATTTACTTTCAACATTAAGTAGGCTCTGTTTCCATAGTTGGGAAAATAACCTTTTAAAAATATCCAGAACTTACATATTCCTGGGCCAGGAGAGAACAAAGCCGTGAGAGGTCCGGTCACCCGAGTACTGGCGGTGAGTGCGCCTGCGCGTGGCTCAAGTGCGCCCCCGGGTGGTGGGGGCTCCTCGCCTGGGGCCCACACGGCCGGTTCCACGCGGCCCTGCGCAGGCCTCTTTCCCGGGGTCTGTAGTACGTTTTCCAGGCCTAAGCCCCGGATCTGTTGGTTCTGCCGTCTGCTGACAGCTGACTGTCCAATAGGAGTGAGGCCGCAGGTGTGTATCGGATGGGGGAAGTCACTCTCTGGAGGTTTACTTGAGGGACTTTGTCGACGAAGACGCTGGACTTCTGGCCACTCTGCAAAGGGCTCTTAGTCAAGGAGGCTCCTTTGGCTTTCGGTTGCTCCCTAGGCCCTGACATCATGGGGCGTGGTCTTGGGGATGTTCGCCGTCACTGTAGCGTGTGCATTGAAAGTCTTACCTTTGGTTCATTCATTGTGGACTGCTGCTGAATACTGTGATGTGTTAGTACTGCATTTTTAAATTGCATTTTCAAACTTTTAACCGAAGGATTCATTACAGTAGAGAATATCACAATGGAGAATATCCCCTTTTGTCAAATTGAGTTTCTGCTCTTTTTTTACACTGATTGTGGTATTCTCAAGAGTAGGAAAAACAACAGTTCTGAGACAAACGGATATAGAGGTCTTCTGCTTCCAAACCGTCGTTCCCAGTATGCAACCCTTCTGACTAGAGGGGTTCCCGAGGGTTGAAAGAGAAACACCGACTTGTTGTTCCCCTTATTTGCTTGTTCATTGGAGCCCTGACCAGTGATCGAATCCACAACCTCGGCATGTTGGTGCAAGGCTCTCGCCCTGAGCCACCCAGCGGGGCGGCGGCCTGCACTTCGACTCTGCCATTCCATGACACCCTGTCTGTCTTCCTGATAATTCTTATCATGTCCCTCCTCCAAAAATGTCCCTTTGCAAATGGCCCCCACCCCTGTGGTCTGAGCAGAGTGACCCCAGGCTTCGAGTGAACGCTAGGGATGCAGGACACGGACCCTGCGCCCTGCGTCGAGCCTTCACCCAGCGGCACCAACCCAGTCTCTCATTAGAGAGCATCCTGTTTCGGCGCACCTGAGGCTCGTGGTGATATTTTAAATTTGAGTATTTTCTGAGGCAAGTTGGGGGTCACTGTCGACTGGCAGGGAAGAAGGGTCTCACTGTGTGTGATTCAGGGGGGCGACCAGAATCCGAAGAATGCAGCTGGTCCCAAGGAAGCTGGAAGTGAACAGCAGCAGCACCCAGACCCAGTGTGTGGGAGCCACCCATGTTTTCTGTGCCGATGATGTGATGGCGTGTGTGTGTGTGTGTGGGGGGGGGACCGCATGTGGGTGGGTGTGCGTGGGGGTGGGGGCCCGGATCTGTGAGCGCAGATGCCGAAAGCTGTGCCCGAGTTTTATTTACCCTTTTCCTCGGCGTTCTATTTCGGTACGCAGGCTTTCGCTCCCACAAAAACGTCAGTGTGATTGGGCAAATGTCGCCATCTAAAGAGATTATTTCCAACTTCTACGTGCTCCCCTCGACGCCAAAAGACAGAAGGAAGAAACATACCCGAGAATGATCCCCGCAAACTACTAAATATAGGAAGGCATGGAAAACTCGTTCTGCAGTGACTCGGGAAGGGAGCTGGTGGCCCCTGAAATCTGGGAAACCACGTCCCAGGTTTTAGGCAGTTCGTGAGGGACCTGAGGCTCCATATTGCAATGAGCGGAGGCGGAGCTAGTGCTCGGGTTCGAGGGGAAGTGAAGCAGCCCCTGTGGAGGGTTTGACCTGCTGCGGGGTGTAGGACGACCTCCGGGTCGGGGGCTCTCCGCTCTCCCCACCCTGCTGTGTCAGGCACCTGCTCACGGTATCGCGGTTAATACCTCCTAAGGTGCAGCGAGTCCTCCCGTGACATCGTCAGTAGGTTCTGTCGCTTTCAGGGAAACATGGCAGAAGCAAACCAGTGTCAACAGGCGCTAATTGACCTGAATGGGAGCTAAATCTCCAGGGCATCTCATCAGCACCGTGAAGCCACACCGAACGAGACCATGTTATTTGAGGACCTGCCGAGCTGAACAGAATACAGAACCACAGAGCAGCTGGGGGCCTAGGAAGGTGCACACCTGGTACGTGGGGAAGCCCGAATTCCAGTCCCCACCTACCAAACCCCAAAGCCTTCCCCTGTCCACCTCGCTGCCCCTGGGGTGGCAGCGGACAGATGGGTTTGTCTTTAAAACAACAGTTCTAGAAACCCAATCTGGGTGCGAGCTATCGTGTTAGAAGTTCTAGAGATCAGTTGATGAGACAGTTTGCTAGAGAGCACGTGAGTTTGCATGGAGTCCGCACATGAGGCCACTTGCTCCCTAGGAGCTGGCTTTTGGTTACAGCATTTGCTCATTTGCTCAAGGTCGTAGACCTGGCTAGCAGGAGAGGCGGAGGAGGTCAGACGGCAGCTCTTTGGTCTCTCGGGCCCTGGTGGCTCTGGCCTACCTCGACTGTCCTTGTCTGCCTCACGGGCCTCCCTTACATCAGCCTGTGGCTCGGCAACCAGCCTTGAGCGTACATTTCCAGGAGCAGGAAGTTTAAATGTCGTTTCTAGTCACTGCGAGGAACTACTTAGTGCCTGTCTTCGACTTCACCACCCGAGAGAGAGATATCAGTTGGGGGCAGGAAGCCAGTACAGTGAACCCCAAAACTCCAGACACCACCGGTTCTGGGAATGAGAATAATAATAATCACCACCTCGCACTGACGGAGGGCTTACCAAGCACCAGGGCATTGGGCTATAGCTTCCCTTTCAGCCTCCCGCTGCGAGTCAGGGGCTGTCAGGGGGCTCGTTTGAAGGTGGCCAAGGTTCAGAACGGCTGAGCGGTCCGAAAGGTCAGGATTTGAACACAGGCCCACAGGGGTTACGCTGAAAGGGTGGGTGGACAGGTGGGGGATGGGGGGATGGGTGGGTGAGAAGATCGGCAGCCAGGCAGACGATACATCTATACATATACACAATTTTTTCAGATTCAACCCCACCAAGGAGAAAGGGTTTCACTTCTTCCTGTAAAACTAATTGAACAACACATGCGGCGCAGAAACCCAGCCTCTTCTCACTCATCTTTTCTTCTGGGTCTCCGCACACTTGCTCTCTGTAATCTCACAAAAACAACCCTGAAATACAGACAGGCAGGGGGAGGTGATTTTGGGGGGTGTCCTGGTGAACTGGAAAACGGCGCTTATTTAGCTTCTGGACTGAGATGTCAGAATCGTTAAATACCCGCAGAGAACTTCCGCGCCTGATTTTATATATATCAAAAAGGAGAAGCACCATTACCATTTTCAGAGTGCCGGCTCTGGAACCTGCAGCTTCAGTCCCTGCCTTGGCCCAACGGCGGACCCTGAGCAGATGCAACAGGGCAGAGTCTGGAAGAGCCTGGAAGAGCCAGGTTGGAATGTTTGAACGTAGATTTGCGGCGGAACGCCCTCCTGGGGGAGATATTAAGACCACAGCCAAATGGAGTCATCAGCCACTATTTCTGTGTTATCCAAAGAATTTAGATCTGGCAAAGACCGAACATGAAATTCTGAAATTCGGAGGGATGCATATGGGCACTCAGAGTGAGTCCCCGGAAGGGGTCCTGCTTCAGTCAGGGTCAGCGGCCCTCCCCTGGGGGTGGGTGAAGTGGGGAAGAATGTGGGGGGAGGAGGGCGGGTTGAAGGGAAGAGAGGGGAAGTGGAATTCAATGACCCGGTGCCATTCCGTGTCCAGAAGCTGCTAGCCCCTCTCCCACACACCCACAGGCACATCTCCGGGACCCAGGACACGGCCTTCACACGGGACAGTGGCATCTCTCCTGGGGCGCGGCACTGATGCAGGGAAGCAGTAGTCACCACAAGGGAGGAGAACTGGAATCTCCCCCGGCTTTCCTTAAACTCACTCCACACCGTAACACTGTGTCCTCCGACCTCCACGGGGAGAGTGGAGCCCCGTGAGCTTTGGAAGTCAGGGGGCTTTGGAAGACTCTACACGAGTCTTCATCTGTTTCTGTCTGGGCCGGAGTGGTACCTGGGAACCGTTACTAGGAGCGCCATTCCAGCTGTGCAGCTGCTATAACTGCCATCCGTGCTCTCACAAACTGCCAGTCCCTGGGGTGGGAGGGCAGGGGACGGGCAGCAGAGTCCCTGTGTGGCAGTGGGGGCCCCCTGCACCACTTTCCCACGTGGCGTTTCCCTCTGCGATTCCGCCTGCTCGGCCCCACGCAGGCTGTGCGTGTCGTCATGGTGACGGGGAAAGCACCGGGCTCAGGGCCCGGTGCCCACGGCAGGTCCTTGCTGTCTGCCCATTTTAGCAGCAGGATGCCTCCAGGGTGCGGGACCGTGGGTGCGCACTACCGATGTGGGCACCGGCTCCAGGGGCTGCTCTGGGACTCTGGTTTCCAGGTGACTTTTAGAGCAGCCAAGAATCTTTCTCTTGAGTGAAAGAAGAAAAGAGGGACTGGAGCTGGAAATGAGGCCTCGAGCCCCTCAGCAGACAGCTCGATGACGCTGCCTTTTAGGAAACAGATTTTCAGTCTAGCACAGTCGGCCGTGCCCCAAACACAGTGATCACTGGCGTTGGGGATGCCCGGGATTTCTGTCCCTTTGCCACCTCTGGCCGAGTGACTTTGGCCATACTAGGTAACCTCTCAGTATGGATTGTCTCATCCGTTGGCCCAATAGTAATCTCTCCATCCTCGGGTTGAGGTCAGGATGCCATGAGGCAATCAGGAGAAAAACACTTGACCGTAAACACTAGTGATCCCCATCATCATCGCCATTATCGTCCCAGATCTGGCCATTAACTGGCTGCAACTTCCCCAGGGA